CCCCAAAACCCCAAAACCCCAAAACCCCAAAAATCTCAAAAATTTGAAAAATTTGCTTAAAAATTCTTCCTCTTAAACTGATTATACTTCTTACAGATTCTGTAGGAAGAAGAGGTCTCTTCTTCGTAGGCTGAAATTGTGCGAAGGAGTAGGGATTTTAGCTGGGATTTTAGGGACGGAGGGTTTTGAGTGGAGGGGCGGAGTGGGAGAGGGGTTGGCCTGGTTTGATTGGCTGAGCTGTTTTGGACGTTTTGATTGTTTTTGGAGCTGGAAGGAGGGAGATTTGGTGGTACTTCTTTTAGTAATTGCTTTAAGTTGATTTTACTAGGCTCTAAACTAGCTTTTGTTGTCATAGATCCAGGAATGGTAATTGTTCTATGACAGATACCATCTTCCATTATTTTATTTAATTGGAGATTTTTTCTGAAGTCTTTCAAATCCCTTAAGATCTTTCAGAAGATCTATGTTCTCAAATGGATTATGAGTATCCTCAAAAGGAGCTAGGTATCAGTTGATATCATCAAGAGGAACATCTGTAAAACTCACCAACATCGGTTGAGACCCCCTCCGTCCCCTCCTCTCCCCCTTTCCATCCCCTACCTCCCTCTCCATCTCCCTAAACTCCTTCTTCAACCTCCTAAACTCCCTGGCCGCTTCCTCAAATTTCTCCTCTCTCTCCATCTCAACTTCTCCTCTACACCCTCAAAATCCCTAAATTACCGATGTCCCTTCTGCAGCCTGGCTTGCTTCTTGACACTCTCAACTTTCTTCCTCCGCCTAAAATCCCGCTCACGTTCCTTGACTGCTTGGACTTCTTGGAATTTCTGCTTGAAAAAGACCTTGACTTGTTCGCCCATGCTGGGTTCGATACGGTATTTATTTTTGGCGTTGCTGGAAGACGTAGCGGGTCAGGTCCTTGCGGTCGTGTTGGTCGAGGGAGTTGGAGACGTGCAGGGCGGTCAGCATGTTGCTGGAGATGTGGTCGTCCATGGCGTCTAGGATGTACATACGATTGTCCAGAGCAGATAAGAATTGAGGTGTGTCCTTGATCCCACGGGTTTTGTACAGTTTTTGTAGCGATTCCTGCTTTGCAAAGTTTGACTTGAATGAGCCTTTGAAAGGTTAATAATGGATTTACTTATATCTCCGAGCAAATAGCTTTGGTAGATTTTAGTTTCATAATTTCACTATTGCTATTTCTCCTCATCAGTGGAGTATTAGGTTTAGTTTTAGGAGCTAGGCTATCTATATCACACAATCAAAAGGGTAAATTATAGCTAGATTCATACTTTTAAAGCTGTCAACTGACCGTAGAGGGAGCTGTGAATTATTCCTAAGACTAGCGCCAACACTTGTAGAAAGTACACTTTGAGTTTTCTTCTTTGGAGCAGCTGAAGTACTAAACTCCTGTATGTTTCCAAAGGGATTTGGAGCTCTATTATCCAACCGAGGCGGATCGTTCTTGACAGTAAACATTTTCTTTTTCTGTCTTCATTCGTTGTTGTTTCTAATAAAAACGGTTAGACTTAAATAAGTCAAGATGAGGTTTATTTCCCTCCAAAGGATCGAGTAGTTCTAAGAGTAATCTATCCCAAATTAGCCTACTGAAGAAGAAATCAGTTACCTTACAGCCAGCAGGTTATATTTATCTAACTGTACTTTCTTATCCAAAAGTTCCTTAAGCTTGAGTTTATTCTTAAGTTCATAAGTTCGGTTAAAGTAGTCCCTCTTTTGACGAGTTGACAAAGACTTGCAAGAGAAAAGTACTGCATTTTCAATGACTTCTTTTAATTGCTGGCCAGACTCCTTGATAATCTTATGGTTTAACAAATAATCTTCATCTTTAAGCTTCAGCTTAAAGCGTGAATTCTTGGATGTTTTAGGCTTTTTCAAGCTTCCATTTCGAGTCTTCTGGCTGAATAACTTAGAAAAGGAGCTGGTCTTCTTATTTATATCTTTATTGAATTCTTGATGCCTAAATAATCAAACTATAGCTTTAAAATTCCCAATCCCTTAGAAGTTTTATTACGAGGTTGTCTTGAAATCTCAAGGTCTTGGATAATATCACTGTTTTGTAAACTTCCTCTTCTTTTTCCTTTCATGAATAATTTCTTTCAATTTTCTTATAAAATTTAGGGGTTTTGGGGTTTTGGGGTTTTGGGGTTTTGGGG